TCGATTGGTATAATTCTCTCTCTCTCTAATTTTGAATCGTGACAAATTAATTTTCTCATTGTAGGACGTTCATCGATGTCGTCTTTTAAGGTGAGTATGAAAAATGAGGTGGAATGAATGATTCATTTTTGTTTTATTGGTTATAGACGAGGAATTCCTGCTCAACCAATTTTGAATGGTTATTGTGGAAACTATGAAGTAGGTATGACAAGATCGATGGTGAACGATCCAGCTTTCAACTATGAAGATGGTTCTCCAACGGAGTCGACAACAATCGACCCTTCATCATTTGGATTGAGAGTGGGGAATTCTAGAATCTATTACGTACTCTATATAATTTCATTTATATTCTTTGTGTTTTGCTTGTGAGAAAAAGACAATAACATGATTTTCGATTAAAGGGCGTTTTTTTTTCTTAAGTTTCTGTATTAAGTTCATTCATCCTCTTTTTCATGTGCTGTTAGTTTATGATTATTTGTTTCACAGGGAACCAAATGTTTGGAAGATATGTGTGTAGTTGTAATCATCATAGGAAAACAATTAGGATTCATCGGAATTAGAAAGCGTTTATCAACATATTTTATAATGAATGCAATATAGGTAATTGACATAAGAATTCAATACTACTCGCCAAGTCAAGTTTTTTGTTTGAAAATGATATGAGAAGTTTCAAGAAATTCAATGATTGTTTTTCTCAATTGTATAGAAGTGTCTTCGTACATTTTATTTTAGAGAATAAACATCAATTGACATTCATCTTTTTCAGTCGATAATCTATTCAATCGAAAAAATGCAAATCTTTGCAATGTATCCTCCAATTCATCGACATAACTGATTTAATGTCAACACCTTGACAACAGTATCATTTGATTATTGAAGATTCTTCAGATCAGGCTTTCTGTGTAGCTTTGGTGTGTAACTAAATCACACGATTTTTAACTATATTAGCATATCACTAGACCTAATCTCACATGAAGAAATATTTCGGCTGTAATCTAATCCGCCTGTTATTTATTTCTGCATAATAGAAAAGAAAAACGACTCAATCCAATTCTAAGTCAGAAAAGCAAAAGGAAATGTTTCGGCCACAATCGATATCATAAATTCGAGCTAAGATATTTTAATTTGTTTCACTATGCAATTTATTTTATCTCAAGTATTCGAATTAATTTGTGTAATAGTTATCACCTCAAGTGACATTGAATTTCTTGCTGTTCGTCTTCCGTTAAAGGTAGTTCTTATATTTATTGCATAAGCGTCTATTCCTGATCCAAAAAACAATGAATCTGTTGGAAAATGTTTAGGGACAACCTTCACCACCTAACGCAGTATGGCCACATCCACAACAAATCACGATCTCGAATGATGTACTCTATATTCGTCCTCATGATCTTAAAATCGATTCTAATATTCGATCATGTGATATCATTGCAAAAGCTATTCAACGTTATGAACCAATTTTCTTTCCACCAAAACTTGCTATGAATCTACCACCGTCTAGTGCTAATAATATCTTACAAAGCCTAACCC